GAAGGGGAACCTGCAGTGAGGGGGGGGAGTGGGATGTGAGAGGAACCCCTCTGCAGACAGCAAGGTCAGCGAGGAAGGCAGGGAGGAGACGCCCACCTGCAGCCCGGGGAGAGAGGAGCCCACGCCGGAGCAGGGGGATGGATGCCCCCCAAGATGGCCGCCGCTCCCTGGGGAAGCCCGTGCTGGGGCAGTCTGTGACTGAAGGTCTGCACCCCGTGGAAGGGACCCACGCTGGAGCAGTTCGTGAAGAACTGCAGCCCGTGGGAAGGACCCACGTTGGAGAAGTTCATGGAGGACTGTCTCCCGTGGGAGGGACCCCACGGTGGAGCAGGGGACGAGTGAGGAGTCCTGCCCCTGAGGAGGAAGGAACAGCAGAGACAAGGGGTGGGGAGCTGACCGCAACCCCCATTCCCTGTCCCCCTGTGCCGCTGCAGGGGAGGAGGTAGATGAAATCAGGAGTGGAGTTGAGCTGGGAAGGAGGGAGGGGTGGGGGGAAGGTGTTCTAAGGTTTGGTTTTACTTTTCATTATCCTGTTTCAATTTGACTGGTAACAAATTAAATTGATTTTGGGTTTTCCCCAAATTGAGTCTGTCTTTTGGCTGTGACCATAACTGGTGAGTGATGCCTCCCTGTCCTTGTCTTGACCCACAAGCTTTTCATTATATTTTTTCCTCCTCATCCCACCAGAGCGGGGAGGAGTGAGCGAGTGGCCTCGTGGTGCCTTGTTGCTGGCTGGGCTTAAGCCACGACAATGAATACGGTGACAAAAAACTTCAATAATATTTCAAGTAAGCCCAGAACCTATCTTCCCTCAGGCTTCTTTATTTCAGAAGCACTTCCTTCTCCAAAACATCACCAGGAAATGACATTTCACCAGCACATGTACAACACTGCAATAAAACAGCAGCACATCCAGGAACTGTTTTCAAATTCACATCGAGGCGAGCAGAACAAGATCAAGGTATTAAAAACAATGACGAAGGTCTGGCTGAGGAGACAGACAGCTTTCTCTCTTGCTATCTGCTTTGCTGATTCCCAGAGAGCCCAGTGTGGCTTTAAAAACGCTGGAGCCATCCCAGCTGCATCCAGCCAAGGAAACACGCTCAGGCAAAGAACTGTTTCTTCCTAGCTTCTTCTGCCATAAGTGAGAGTGCTCCTTAACAGTTTTAAGAAACCACCCCATCAACTGATATAATCTTACCATTTAGAAGTTTGCCTGTGCTCCCAAAGCTAGAGTTGTCAGCTTTATCATACTGCTCATTGCCATGAGGGGCCCTCAGCCCTCCATGGCAATAAAGGTTTCCACATTTTCTGTGCAAGATGAAATTTTAGGTGAGTTAAAAAAAAATACACCACACTTTTGACTGTAGCAGGAACGACATTGTGTCCAAGTTAAATTTCCTTATCTAAGTCCCTATATATAAAACTTCACTGTCAGGAGTGTTTAATCTTGTATTGTGGGAGATTCAGCGTCCATCGAAAAACCTTCATTAGGACCTTCTGTGGTAAAATGATTTGCAATCCTGACACTGAAAAACACTCTGTGCTGGGAGGAGCTTCACTTCTGTCCAAGAGGAGGATTACTGTGAGAATTAACTTGTTTCTGGCCCTGCTGTGGTACACTGGTGTCCCTCACACAGTATAATCTCCCTTGCCATTTGCTCTGAGATTGAGCCTGTCCATAGACAGAACCCATCTGCCACTCATATCCTGAACAACCTCCTTAATACTCCACCTTCCAGCAGAAGAGGTCGCTCAAATCAAGCCCCACATGCGGGCTCATCTGGCACTTACCATCTGCAGCAACAGACCACCCCATAGCATGATTTTTTCTACCTGCTCTGGCTGCTCTACAAAATACCTAATGATGATGCTCACAGACAGACCAACTGCAAGGCAAAAGCATTAGATGTCTGCATCAAAACCCATGAGTTTCACCTTCATGACTAAGTCAGCACCAAGGCAATGTCAGACTTCGAACATTTCTGCATAGTTGCTACAGAGATATCAAAACCAACATAACCTATAAACATATAAAGTACATGAAACACGTGTCCTTTTAACCTTCTGCTTCTCAGTGGCAATACAATAATGAAGACGGAGGATGGGAGACTTGTGACGCTCAAACATCATGATGTAAGTATTGATGTGCTGAAAGGAACCATATACAATAAGCATAACGTTAAGGTCCTCCATCAATCAAATTGCAGATTTTCTATCTTATCTTATGCAATTACCAGGTGTCAGAAAGTAACTTTTCCTATTACCTAAAAGGTTATTTTGCCCACTGACCACTGAACTATATTTTAAAGCATTCACCTCTGAATAAATAATCAGAGCTTTTAGTCTGATAAAGATATGGATACAAAATGTTAGCACTTGGAAATCTCAAGAAGGCGGCAACCTTTCAACCTTAAATATCAGCCTGCCTCTCTCTTTCTTCCAGTCCTCTCCCAGAAAAAACTCCCATTAATTTCAAAGGAAGTTTCAACAGATAAGGTCATGTGTTTTGACCCTTACCACTTTTGACATTAAAAATAATTGAATCTATTGTTGCAGCAAATAAGAGCCTAATAAAATACTTGTATTAGTATTTATTTTTTGATAATTACTGATGTTCTATGCAGGTGGGAAAGCTTGGGTGCATGCCTGTAGGACACTAATGGGAATTTTCTTTTTCCAAGCTTCACATTTATCAGTGCACTAGAAGAAAATAAGCCTGTAATACGAAGTTTCATGCTGGCTCTCATTATGCCATCTCATAAGCTTGTCCTTTGATTTATTATAAAAATTAAATATATTTTCTCAGTGAGATCAGAGGTATTAGACGAGGTCATGGAAATGCTGGCAGAAAAATGCTAGTTTTCCACGTGTAAAATCTTTTGTATTATACATCCTAGGTTCAACCAATGCTGCTGAATTGCCGGGGGGGGTCTGGTAGGATCCTGGTGAGTTCCTGTTATCCAGGGTCAGGGGTAATGGAAACTGTGGGGTCCCCAGCTCTCATACAGTCCAGAAGTAAATCTCTCTCCCCCCACCTCCTGCAGGGTGCTCAGCAAATTTGACATCCTTGTCAATTTTGCTGCAGTTAGTAGCAGGGGAGCTGACAGGAATACCAATTTTGCAGAGCAGCTGCAGGATACTGTTAGCTTACTAGAAATGAAATCTTTTTTTTAAAAAAGGAAGGTTTTGGATTCAACTGAGATCAAACCCAGTACTGCAATCAACAAACATTCCTGCAACCTGGAGACACAGCTTTTAAAGACACTGAAGTCCCTCTTACTAGGGGAGGAGATATGCTAGCATGTCTGGTAAAGCTTCCTATTCCTCTGAGAAGAGGAAATACATTTTTTTACTCTGGTTTTAATCACTGTGTACTTTCCAAATGTTTTGGTAAATGGGGCAACTCTATGTAACACTTCTTGTAATGCCTAGAGCAGATTATACAGGCATATTCAAGCCAGCTTCAAACTAATCAGTCTAACCACAGCAGGATGCAGCTCAGCCGCAGCTCCTGGAGCTGGATAAACCATACAAATAAATACTAGGCAGGCTTTTGCAACCCGTGGTGTGTCCTGAACTGTTGTGGTTATCCTCTGATTTGTAACCAACTAACCCAGCATGCTGGAACTAACTTCAAAGTAGCTGTCACCACAGCGTCCACGTATCGGTAAGAGCTATACAGTTATCACGGAAATCCTGCTACACTGCACTATGCTTATGACTAATACAGAACATGAAAGACAAGCCTTTTGTTTTGCAGAAACATGTAATTTTTGGTGACAATAGCTTCTCAGCTGTCAAGTCAAAAAATACGATCGTCACTCAGAGTAATACAGCCATCTATTCCAGTTCATTAGTCTTTGCCTGACGAATCAGAGAGCAGCTTAAACAGCACAACATAAAGAGCACCTTCAGGTATGAACCCTGAAAACTCTTATTCTGCATTTAACCTTGTGCAAGAATTCACACTTAGCTAAATGAGACTTCTCAAACAATTATGGGCCATTTTCAGGAGTACAGGCTTTGGGGTGCCAGAAGGTACAGTCAAGTCCTGCCTGAAAGCTTCCACTGTGCAATAAACAGGTCAGAGAGCAACTGGGCTGTAACTCAAGTCTCTTCTGGCACTTAAAGGAGCAATATCCTCACTGCTTTCTTTCTAATTCTAGTGAGAACAATAAGAAATCAGAAGAAAATTCATGTTTTCTCACAGACGATCCAGGCTCAAGACTTGCAAAACCACATATACTAATTATTAGTCATCATGGAAGAACAAAGAAAATAAACCTTCTAAATAGATCACAGAGCTTGAAAACAAACATGCCAGGTACGAACTTCCACCACGTGCAACAAGGCCTGGATCTGGGATTCTTGCTCAGACCAATTTACAATATAAAAACACATTTTTGTAGTTTTCCATACTTATTTTTTAATTAAAAAGAGTCTTAAACCAGGAGTGTTCGACAGCTATGGCAGAAGGAGGGGTGTGGCAGGAAGAAAGATTTGTTTTTCTTGAAAACAAGTGACACATCTTTCCTGCCCAATGGAACAAATAATTTATGGTTATGCAAGTTATTCAATACAATGTCAACTTCTTTGTCATGTATTTTTCTCGCTCCTCTATTAGCACTTACAGCAGCTTGAATGTGGCTAAACCCTCCACTAGCATTGTCTTTTCATACTACCATTTCCTTTACCCATAGTCTGCTAAATCAATGTAACAAGATTTCTTCTGGGTTACCCTCTAGCTCTAGTGGCAGAACGTGAATATACAGCTTTGGCAAGCTGCTGCTTTAATTGTAGTGCACCCAACATATTTGGGATTTTTTAAAAGAAAAAGCTGGTAATGAAGTTAAAGATCTCTTAGAATCTGAGAAATCTCTCCAAGCTGAGCTTCAGCTACCTTAAAAACATGTATAAATTGGGGCTGCACTACAAATCTTTAGCCTTGTTGAGCAAACAGTTCCAGATTAACAAACCAACCCGATCACAACTATTACCTGCTGAAGTATGCTTAAATTTTTCACTCTTCTTCTTCCTCCATTTCCATGGTTTAAAAAGCCTTCCAAGAGTAGCAAACTTGCTTCTTCTTCTGATTGGAGGCGTGTGAGTCCCAGGTACTAAAGAATCTGAACGCATTGCAGCCAGTCTTTCCACTTCCTCAGCTGTAGTTTCAGCAAGAGAAAAAAAAAGGGGGGGGGGGGGAGTGAAATAAATGTTTTAATAAATTATCAGAGAACCACACAGATGGTCAAAATTTTCCATGGTTACAGAGAACAGTAAAAAGGGGAAAAAAAATGTAGTCATTATTTTAACATTATTTTCTGTCCTTTCAGTGCAATCCATAATCTACTTTAAAAATCAGTATTAACAATCAGATTCAATAGGAATATGGATTATTACAATAGCAAAGTTACAATCTTTAACAGATTGTTCTGCATTGCTCTAGACAGCTGGCAGTCCATCCACCAGCCATTCCTGGGAAAGCATAACAGAGACTGGGGAAGAGAAAGCTCCCCCAAAGTGATGCAATACTGCTAAAAGGAAAGATTGCAAGTCTTCTTTTGCAATGGAAAGAGACAGTTCCATGAACTAATATTTATCAAGAGCAAGGTCCCTGATAAATAATGACCCTCTGGTATCATTACCGTGTCCATTAAAACTGCCTGGGTTACAAAAGCGGCTGCAGTAGGAAATTCCTAGTGACAGAAAGGGTGCTAAAAATTCAGAAGGTTCCTTCCAGTCCCACCTTTTTGCCCACTCATTCCTTTCCAATTCTTATACTTAACTTTTAACACAGGGACTTGGCGAATTTTAATAGAGTCCACACTTAGGGCTCAATTCCCTAGGTGGTGGGGGTTACAGGTTTTCACTGAGCTTCTGTTGTTAAAAAAAATCAGCTTTCTACAACCTTTACATTGTAATACATCATGATAGGCTCGATACTTAAAAAAATTTGAAGAGTTGAAATTACCCTTCCTCCCTGATAACAGCAAGAGAAGTCTGGGGGTGGTCACTTGGCACAGTTACATTGCATGGTGTCATGTTGCGTCCCCCCCCCCCCCATTTTCTGATAGTTTTGAGAAATAACATCCCTATGATTAAAGGCACAGAGAGAGGTAAGCCAGGACCACAAAGGGAAACACTGAAAGGGGGAAGGTACCAGTAGGCCAGGAGAGAGGGTGTCTCCATGCCACAGCTCCATGCCAGGGCTGCAGTAAGCTCTCCCAGCCTTGGGCTGAAGCCTGCACTCTCCCTCCCTAAAAAAAAGCATCTGCGTAATTCAGTCAGCATACAGGAGGGGGTTTTGTGGGTTTTTTTAAAGTTGTTTTTTGTTGGGGTTTTTGTTTTGGTTTGTTTTTTAAGGGATACCATTTGCCAGGCTTGTGTTGTAATGCAACACTGCCAGTAAAGCTGATTTGAGTGGTTTGCACACACAGTCTGGATTCATAAAGAGAGGACACAGATTGTCACCTCGCCCTCTATGAAGACAGCAGCCCAGTGTTTCTATTTCACCTCTAGTACATTAAGCATTAACCTCAGCCATGAGCACGGGCTCAGGAACTTCAGCAAGAACGTCGCTGTGAAGGGATGAACACACCCACTCCACACTGACAGAATCACGAGAGATTTTGGCTGGCAAATTCTTATGAGTCTCAATGGAAATTTTTCCGAGGCTTTAAGTGTGCCAAATTTAGGTTGGTTTTCATGGGAACAGCCAGAGACTCATTTCTAACACAAAGGAGGCTTCATTATTGGAACTCCAAACTGAAATACTATTTGAACCCCTCAGGTTTGTGCAAGAAGGTTGGTTATTTTGTTATTGCTCTTTTGTTTGTTTTGAACATTGGCAACACAATCCTTTTTCCTGTAAAATATCACTGCCAGATACAGCTGCCTGTAACTTTCTGGAGAAAAAAAAAGCTAGCCCGCAAAATACAGAGTGGCCAACTGTTTCAGTGGAAATGGTTAAAAAAACCTATTCCTTGGGTTAATGGAGAGAAAGCCTGACATTTCTGAGAACATCTTCTTTCCATTTAAAGCAGAGGAAAAAAAGGTAATCCAGCCAAAGCATTTCATTCTGTTCCAGTTCTTTGTGCCCAACTGCCTAGAGAGACACCTTCTTATATCCAGAGAACCCATTACAAGACTCTGTCCTATGCAGGGGCTGGGACATGCTGCATTGAGGCTGGATATTGCCTGGTTATGCTGAACAAACCATGAGGGTAAAAAGAAGAGGAAATCAGAAATTTCCTTATACTTTGATTTCACTGGAACCTACTGGGCTTTGAAGACCAGCACAGGGTACAGACCACCTCCTTCTATATGCAGATCCAAAGGGACCATGCCTTTTCCCCCTCCTCCATTTTTAAGGTGCCTCTAGTTAAAACATGTAAGATCACAGTGTTCCACTGCTGTGATTTTTTTAGAGATGCTGCTAAAGTAATGGGCTGGTATTGTCTTTGCTGCCTTACTTGGAGGATACAGGGTGTAGAAGTGGCCCACTGAGCAAACTGCGAATGACACACAACTGCTGCTGAATTAGGCTTCCTGCTGCATAAACCCACAGCTGAAACATAATGAAATTCCTCTTGCTGCTCACCCTCTCTCCTCTTCCCCATCACTGAGCCAGCATTTCTGCTACCCAGGTCCCTTAGTTACTAAATCTCAGAACTGCAGCAACTTCTCTTTGAGAGCTGGTCCTAACTGGTACTGCTGAGGCCGTTCCCTGGAGAACTGACATCCCTTAAAGATTCTCTCCTTTCATAACATACATCCCCCCTGTCCCACACCAGCTGCGCTTTGACTGCCCCTGGGAAGCTTTTCCCGTTCACGGTAAATGAGTATGGATTCACAGTCAGGCAAAACTAACACCAGAGTCAAAAGGAATTTACCCAAAGGGTGGGTTCATTAAAAGCCAAACACAGCATCAAAACCATTTTCATATTTTGACTGCTCTTCCCTGAATTTCAGTATTGTCTCTCACACAGATCTGTGCCCTGGGAGTCCTGCTGTGCTCTCCATCAGCCATGAACATGGCCCTTCTCCTTCATCCTCTCCAAACACATATAGCTCCGAGCTAATGCAAGTAACAGCTCTTTTTCCCCTCTTGCTCCTATTTCTCAGAAGGACTACCTCTTTTTTTTCCATGAAAAATACCCTCAAGAGCACTGCTAATTCAAAGCATAATAATCACTGGCTAGGAATGAGGCACATTAGCATAAAGCCATGACAGTTTTAATACAGCAAGAATAAAAGCAGACCACGATGCGAGAAGTAAATGCCAGATTTCTGCACTCTTCTTTGCTGCTGCATCTTTCGCTCGAGTTGGCCGGGTTTCTCTGCCTTTTTGGCTCCTAATGACTATTGACTGGCTGTGGGCTGCGACACCCACTGCTGACAGCAGGCTCCGTAGGCTGGTTTCACACCCTTGCTGTTCCCAAAAAAGGTGGTACTTGCACAAATGGAAACCAACCCAGGCCTTGCACTTCCCCCCCCCCGCGCTTCAAAGAGGAAAGCAGTCCCAGCAGTCCCAGCTTGATCAGTCTGCTGAACTGGGAGAGGGAACTGCCACGTGCATTAGTGCCTGTAGTCACACTGCTGAGGTCTCATCTTGAGGCTGGTGCCACAAATGTGATGTTTATGGGTCACAGTTGCTGCGGATACTCGGTGCTTTTGGAAACTTGTTCTGACTTTTTTCCAGGGTCTGAGAGATCTTGCCGAGACACAGAGAGATGCTGGGATCTGCACTTATGTCAAGGGGGCGATGCACTCCCCTCCCACTTTCCACTGTCCGAGCTGTCATCCCAGAATAGCAAAGGGAAACTAAACCTGAGAGCTTTTCACAGGCTGTTTGGCTGTGAGACAGCTCTCAAGATTTTACTGTTGTCCTTAAGATATTTGAAGTTCATATAGACGGAAGGGCTTAAGCAAGACATGTGGTTTTAACGAGAAAAAGCACCACAAACCAAAATATTTTCAATCCAAGTGATGTAAAAGGAATTTTACAAACATGATTGAAATATACTACAAAGACTTAAAAACACTAGAAGGTCTAAAAGCTAATTTCTTCTCTTATCCCCCCCTTTTTTTTCATTTTGAAGCTAACCCTGGGTTTGGTGGTTTTTTTGGTTAAAGTCACTTTGAGGTTTGTGGGCTGTAATGTACTGCATGGACAACAGACATAGACAAAATCAGAAAGTCAAGGAAAAGCAATTCAAAAAGCAGTTCTGCAAAACAGTCAATTTACCAGTCTGAGAAAAAAAAAAAAAAGGCCAGGCCATCTCAGACCTGTTCTGTATGTTCTTATCAGTCTCCCACATCTTTCAGTAGGGTGTCGATTTCCAGAAGGTCCAGTAAGAGACAACATCGGGGTCACCTACTTTTTGGATTCGAGAAGCACAGCAGGCAGATCAAAGGCCCTCCCAAAGACAACATAACTTAAGTTTTCCTGGAGAATGACCACCAGTTTTGTCATTCCCATGTCTGTCTGGGAATCACGGCATCTATTAAGGTTGCTGATATATAATGTACCTAGCTTCCATTTTAGAAAAAAAAACCACTCTTACCGCATTTGGATACACAGAGCAATTTCATTGCTGAAGGCTGAAGCCCACCCATGCTATCCATGACCTTCAATATTACCTTCCTTACCGGTAATCACACTAGGTTTTCTCTCAGACCATTTCTTAACACTCGTTGTTCATAATCAGACATATGATTATCTTAAAAGGCAGTTTACTTCACAAAGTTAGATTTTAAGCCTTCCTAGGAAACACCAATGGCTACATTGTGCTTTCTGTTATATTTGCGCAAATCTGCAGTAACAGGCTGAAAATGATCTTGGCCCTAAAGATGCAATTAACTAAATGTGCCACTTTATTTAATGACAATAACTTTCCATAAATAAAAAAACCCAACAAAATACTTATTGCTAATCCACATCCAACCAGCCTTTATTCTGCAAATTAGTTTCCAACAAACTCCTGTTACAATGATTCTTTTGAGCTCTGCACCCTGAGTATCCTTCACTTCAGACTGCACAGACCTTATTCTAGCAGCTTTGTTCAATACGAGATGTAGACACACCATGTGTCTTTTGGAAATGACAGGAAACCTGAACAACTACTCTAATTGCTGAGCACTTATGTCTTCTCTTTACCTG